CAAAACCTGGTGAAATCTGGAATTGTACATCAGATCTGCAGTAGGAAGGGCATCATGCCATCAACACCCACAGAATGTGCTACCACCCTACTCTCAACTGAGTGGTATGATGCACCACTCAAGAAGACAGCCCTCCACTCCACAAGAAAAAAAGAGGGGAAAACATGTAGGAGAGTCTGGAGGACAGTGCAATGGGTGACTGCAATACCTTATTTTGAAAAGCAGAGCTACCATGTTCACAGAGTCAATCAACCAACACCTGGCAGCATCTAGAATTGTACATAAAGTCCATGGTAGGATGAGTCTCAAAGCCACAGAGCATCAGAGATGGGCAGCAATCCCTGTCTGCTTTACTTATGATTATCCATGAGTGCATGATCTGGGATGAACATACTTACGAAGCAAAAGACCACTTCAGAAAACCACTAGAGGTCCTAAGGAACACCCTATCTCGATGGTGTGAGTGTGCATAATCTAATCTTGTGACGTGACTGATTCGGCATAGATGATAATTGAACAGAGACACACAACCAACACCTGGTGGCATTTGGATTTGTACACCAGGTCTGCAGTAGGAAGAGCTACTACATAATTGACATGGAGCATGGTCACAGGATGGACAGTGCAGATTTTCCAAAAAAAATTATACCTGGTCAGGCACCACTTGCCACAGAGTGGGATCCACAACACACAAGCAAAAAGGCCCCTGTAAATAAAGAAATAGCTAAAATATAATACTCACCAGTCATAATGCCACTGAGGTGTGTGATATGGTGACTGTAGGTAAATGAAAACCTGCTAAGCAATAAATGGCCACAAGATGTAAATAATGTGCAGTCCACATACTGGCTTCATTGATGACCTCCAAAGGAAGACAGAAATGGGCAGCCAGGGACATGGTGAGGGGAGGGATTTGATTAGAAGATACCCAAAAAAAAGCAATACTCCTCAGGCAAAAGGAAAGAATACACCCGACTAATTAACTAGTAAATTCATCCTGGGAGAGAGGTCCTGGGACAAGAAAGAATTCCATGGAATAAACAAATGGTTATAGGAACCAGAGAAGGGAGAGTGAAATACCATTGGAAGCCCCACACCACACACAGGAGGCAATCAGGATCCGAATGGTCATAAATGTGGGAAATGAAGGATAATGAAATGGGAGAAGAAGTGGAATTACCCTCCCTACCAGTCCTGGGCAAATACAAACTATCAGGGAAGAGGAGAACAAAGGAACTGTGGAACAGCAAAAGGCGAGCATCAACCACAAAGATATCAAAATGCTGCTGGCAACAAGCCAATAATATGAGGAATAGAAATTGTAGAGAAAGGTGATACAGGGAACACGAAGATAAAGGTTCGAACAGAGGATGAGTGAGAGCATGAAAGACAACATTAAGATTTCAATCCAGAAGAGACACAGGGAGGGGAGGACGGGAAGGGGAAAAATAATGAAATAACCAAGACAATATGGGAGATTGAAAGAAAGAGACAAATAGAGTAAACCTGAACATGCAAGATAATGCAGTTTGATAGCTGGCAATCGAGGAAACTAACAGTCCCCAATCAAAGAACCAAGTGAAAAATGAAGTCAACTGTGGTAGGGAAGGTTGTGAAGGATGTTATCCCCAGCAGAGTGAACAGCAGCAGAAAGTATGCCATTGATGTTTATAAAATGCCAATAAAGTAACATGCTTGGAAAATCCATATTGTCTGGTGGGGGAATGGACAGAAGCCATGCATGAAGCTGGAGGGCAGGAATGAATGGATGATGCAAACCTGATCCAGGTTGACGAGAGTGTGGGAGACAATGGCAAAAGAATAGGAGGTGACAATAAAAGCCTGTGCAGAAGCAGAAACAATGACTGAACAAGCCAAATCAGAGCCACCAGGAGCACACAACACTGAGTGGTCTGAATCAATGAAAGAACCCTGGGAAGAAGAAGAAGAATAGGAGGATATGAGTACAGGTAATACCTTATCCAGTTTTGACTGAGAGCATCAACAACTTCTGCAAAAGGATGTGGAAGTGGAGTCAAAAAATGTGAAAGTTGTGCACTAAGATGTGTGGCAAAGCATCCACATCCAGAATACTCCAATGAGCAAACAACTCCTGAAACACCCATGGATTTAATGACCACTCTGTCGGGAGAATCTTGTCAGGCCGAGATAATCAGTCCGCAATCAAATACAGAACAGCTGGAACATGACAGGCTAACAACCTGATGTGATGATTGTGGGCCCAGTAGAGGATATTCAATATTGAGAAACCAACTAATGTAGAATTGTTGGAGTGGCCCATCATTTAAATGCCCTTTACATTCTTTTTAATTATATTTATGTAAGCTTCAGCCATTTT